TGGATGGATATCGAGATATTGCATGGATGATATCAATTATGTAATAAAGCAATCCAAAAGGTGCAATGTCTAACTCGTGTTCTAAAATTATTATAGTTGATGGTATAACGGCGGAAAAAATTTATATGAGACCAGGTCTCGCGGTCCGCCCTGATGGATGACACGTGGCATTCATCAGGATGGGTCTCACCTGCTAACCCGTGAGACATGGTCTCATAGAATTCTTTTCCGTATAACGGCCTAGGGGCACCTCATGCCACCACTTAGGCCACTACACGACCCTAGCCACTTTTGGAGATATGCCCTAGAGGCAATAAAATTGTATTATTAAATTTCCATATTCATAATTAAAAGTTTATATCCTATGATATAATTGCTATGATCCTGGAATGTGCGATGCAGTGGAAAACTCATATGCACATGTGGAATGATAAACGGTAAAATAAGATTCCTAGCCTCGCCTCTAGGACTAGCACAAATGTTGTTGGTGATCATGTTTTCCGGATTTTAGGATATCGTTAAGTGTAACGATAGTCCTAAAACAACTTTTTTGAGAGCATGCCTTTAGAAGAGTGATCGTATTGAATCGATCCAAACTTGTTTGATATACTTAGAGATACAATCGTCAAAATTCAATTGTTATAACATTGAGTGTTAACATGTGATTTAGTTCCTTAGACCATGAGAGTATTGTAGTCACTTCCTAGTGTACAATGAACTTTGGGGTTGTACCAATGTCATCTGTAACATGGTGATCACAAGATAACTTACAGGTTCACTGAAAAGTTTGACAAGGAATTAGATAGCTCAAGAGTGGGATTTGCTCCTCCAATGATGGAGATATATTCTTAAGGCCCTCTTGGTGTGACTACATCCATAATCGTATGTCCAGAAACAGGTGACTATGTCACGGGGATGTCCAAACAAGATGTCGCCTCATGAACTCCTGGAACTTAAGGAGGAAATCGACAATTCACTTCGCAAGGGTTTCATTCATCCAAGTTCCTCGGCCTAGGGAGCACCTTCTCTCTCTGTCAAGAAGAAGGATGGAACGAATCATTTGGTCCAAGACTACCGACCTATCAATCAAGCAATAATTCAGAACAATTATCCCCTTCCTCGGATCAATGATATGTATGATCAACTTGCTAGTTCCTCGGTATTCTCTAAACTCAACTTCAGGTTGAGTTACCACCAGATCCGGGTGCGTGAAGAGTATATTCAAAAGACCGCATTCGTTACTCGCTATGGTTCATACGAGTACACCGTCATGTCTTTCAGCTTAACCAATGCTCCAGCTACATTCTCTCGTCTGATGAACTATATCTTCATGGAATACCTCGACAAGTTCGTCGTGGTCTATCTGGATGATATCCTGGTGTATTCCAAGAATAAAGAAGAACATGCTAAATACTCCCAACATCCATGATCCTAAAATTTAAAATATTTCCACTATTATCCTTATGCATGAATTTGATTATATAATTCAGGAAGTTAGGAACATCTTTGCTTTTATAAGATAGATTTTGAGCATCCTCCTATAGAAGAAATTCTCCATGATAAAGACACTATATGAAGGTTGGAATCTAAAGAGTATTTTGTGTATGATGAAAATCTTATGCTGAAATTATTAAAACTTTATACCATCATACCTGTAATAAATTTGAATGGATTACTAAGGGGATTGCTGAAGGGTTTAGTAATAAGTGGTGAAAGGACATGCGGTGCCCCCATGCGTGGTTTTGGTAATTGCTGACAATCTCTATGGACTAATGGTTGCCTTGAGTTATATTTGAAGGATTTGTCCATAAGCTTTTCTTGGAGTCCATTTGTTGGTTTCAAGGAGAGTTTGTGACGACCAAGGTGCTATTCAAGGAATTACCTAAAGTTTGGTCATGTGAGAGGTTGATCAAGACTAAGTCAAAGAGTGAATCAAGTTGATCAACACACGAAGTGTAGAAGATGCACCAAGAGGGATCAAGTGATCCCATGGTATGGTAAGCATTGTCAATTACACTTTGTATACTAACACATGGTATTCGTGAGAGTTCTTTGTGGGGTTAGGTTGCGGGGTGTAAGTTCAAGTGGAGCATCACGAAGAGATAAAATGCTTGAAGCTTTCCATCCATTGTGGTGACAATGGACTTGTGAAGATGTTCAGAAGAGTGGCTCACCCATAGTGGAGTATGGGGGAGCAATCAACTAGTCTTCATCAAGCCAACGCAGTCAAGAAAGGTGGTCCAACTTGAGGGAGTCAAGATCATCATCATCTAGCTCAAGTGGACCGTGTGCAAGGCAAAGGTTTGCCCTTGATAGATTTTCTATTTACCGGTCTCATGGTGGTAGTTGGGAGATCGGCTTATAGGATCGATTGCTGTACTATCAAGGGGGGCTCTCAATGAGTAGCTTGATCGTATCATTCATAGAGAGCTCAAACCATTGCATTCTTGCATCATATTTCTTGGTTCTTGTTTGGTTCTCTTTGTGAGTCTTAGAACTTTTGGTCATCTTGATGATAAGCTCAAGTTCATCGAAAACGGAGTTCACATGCATC